GGAATTCATAACAGGATATTTATTACATACATTGTTGTATGTACCCACAAACTGTACTTCAAGTTCTGTTACGTTTCCTTCCTAATGGAACATAATTCACAATAAATAGATGCCTTGATCCTCTCTGTATGTATTGAACACTATGCGAGATTCAGAATTTATTATAACTTTCTGTATCGATCTGCATTTCAGAGTCCTATAAAGAAAAAAAGTGTACAGATCAGCTAGAACAGAAAACGTATTCAGCAAAGATGTTCAGCATGTATGTTTAATAAAAATGGTTTTTGTAGGTTTACAAAGATTTGCAGTGGGAGTGTTTCTCTCTTCCCTCACAGCTGTCTCGCTCTCCTCTCCCTCTTTCCAAGGTCAGCATAATACAGTCGGAGGTTGTCTTTCCACGTGTGGCACGACGGCACAGTGCTGTGCTGGATTGTATGGCTTTGTGCTGCAGAGCCTTGTGTACTTGCAAATCTGTCTAGGATCCTCACATGGGGAAGATTACATAAATAGAAAGCATTTATGTTTCATCTATCAAAAACCTGCTTAGGGCTGTGGCACCAAACACATCTTCTTTTTTTCTGCTAAATCAGGTTGTCATTTTTCTCTAGTCTTTCTAAGTGATGCTACAAGAATGTATAAAAAATAAATTGTAGAATTAAGCTGAGCTGGACCTTTCCAGCAGTGCTATAACCTTTTGTGCTATTAGAAGCGCCACGGCCCTTTGAGCTACTCTATAAATCTTTTACTGGTAGATATGGAAAGTAGAGAAAGGAGAGAGAGAGTAGATAGATAAAAACTATATTTGGCGGTGTGTCTATTTCTCCAAGTAGCTCATCAGATGCATGCTAACTAGGTCAACTTTGGTAATGATTTGAAGCAAATTGTTTATTTGTTTTTCTTCTAGTAATGCCTAGGCAGGACCCCCAACTCTGCATCTACGGGTAGTGTGGTAAGGGCAAAAAGTCTTAAAAACAGATAACCTAATTACAATGATTAGTATTGATATGTGCCACTTATACATTTATTACTTATGCACAGGTCCAGCCACCATTTTTTCCTCTATACAATTTATTTTTTCTTGTTTTCCTCTAGATTCATAGAATAATGAATTTCAACTTGTTGTGTACTCATTAATGGTGCCTTGTGTCAAAAGCATGCTTGAAAATAGATGTTCTTTACATCTTTTCACCTAGGTGGAAGAAAGCTTCTTCAGTAGTAGCACATAATTTTCAATAGAGAAATAGTACTATTTTTATTACTGTGTGGTATGTTTCTGCCACAGCTGTGGAAAATAAGCCCTGAAATCAAAATGAGTAACTGAAGATTAAATTTCTGTATCTTTTTACTGTTAAAGAAATAATAAAACATAAATAACAAGTGATTGATGTTAAATATATCTTAAGTTAATGATAACACACAAGACATGGGGCAACATCTGTGAAGTTCTTAGTATATTGTTCACTAGCAATAGACATTTTTAAAATGTTGAGTAATCTGGGTAGGCAGTTGCATAATTATTGTGTGAATGTTCAGTGTTAGGGATTTGTATACTGCAGTGCAGTATACAAATAGTCTTGTAATAATGGTCTTCATCTCAAGTCAGCAGGTTATGTGGTCGAGGGAGCAAATGGTTAAAACCAGCAGAAGTTAAAAAAGGTCATTAAGTGGTATTTTTGGAAGTCATTCGTTACAAAAATGCTTGTGGGGAGGGTGCCAGCAGAAGATTGCTGCATCAGATCTGAAAGCAATAATACTAATGTTGCTATTAGGTAATGATAATACTATATAGTATAATACCTATATGACTTTGCAGTAGCTCATATGCTGAAAATTAGAACAATGCTAAGTAGTTGCATTGTACATTTCCCTTTATTTTAAATAATGTGATTGTCATCTTCTTTTCTTTTTCTTCCTCCTTTGTTATAGGGAGAAAATTGAATTTTAGTCATGACAGCAATGGCATATTTCATTATATAATCATTACACTCTCCAGGGATGGGTTTATAGCAGGCTCAAAGACACAGGGAAGCAAACTATAATGGCCTAACATCAGAGAGTATCGGTGTTTTGAGCCCCATGGGATGCGCATGGGAAGGAACGTGCTCACGGTCATACAAGTCGATCCATCTTGTTTGAGCACTGATGTGATGTGAGCTGCTGGAAAATTTGCATGAGGTGACTTGCACAACCATCATTTGTGGAATGTTGCAGATCTTCAGAAAGGTGCCGTGTTAGGGGGTTTTTGTTGTTTTTTTTTTTCTTTAATTCTTTCAGGATCTAGTATTCATCACTTATTATTCATGGAGTTAGAGAAGAATGATGCTGAAGTTGCTAAAGTAGCACAATCATATTCATGGATTTTTGTTCTTGTCATTTAGGATTGTGAGTGGGAGGCTATTAGCATTTCTGCATGAAGTTCCATGGAATATATAAAAATATGAATAAAAGGTAATCACTAAACTGTTACTGATAGTGGTTACAGTGCTTAAAGAGAAATACGTTCTTCTAGTTGTTTCTTAGATTATAAGGATTACTCAAAATTGCAGCTATTCACTGAATATACCATGAATATTTTATAGAAGTAAGAGACAGTGAATATTGTGGTCAGATAGGGACCTTGTCTGAGTGGTATGGTCTACGAGTAGCATTCAAATGCATGAACTCTGGCTTTTGTACAGGTTTTCTACTAACTAGAGAAAGTGTGTGTGCACATGTGCATTTTTTTACTTGCAATCAAATTTTTGAAGGAGATGATGCTAACTGCTTGGTCAAGCCACTTTCTTAAAGGAGAGCTGGATGAAAGACCCATGTGACAAATACAACGATTTTAATGCATTTAAGCTAGTCTCTAGCTGAGTCCTGAGCATGTCTCCACTTTGTCACAGGTGACAGTCACTGCTCACTGGCAGCTTGTGAAATGTGGCTCTAATATTGATACAGACTGGATAAGCAGTAGTAGAGAAATGAGGATGTTCTCAAACAAGAAGGAAAAGCGAAAGGGGGGGTGGGGGACAATAAATCTATTACTGTACAGTGGATCACATAAGGATCTAACTCTAGTAATTTTCAGATTATGCATCTTCTTTTGCATCCTGATGCTGGCGAGGGGGTACTTAAATGTTGTATGCTTATCATTCTAATATGGTTGCAAAGACAGAAAAGGTACAGCTTAGCTCTGTGTCAAAACAGATGTTTTAATTGTGCTCAAGATTTGACCGGTTTCCCCCACTTCATGTTTAATCTGTAAACCCAGAAAATAAAGTATACTTGAAAAGACCTGTGTGGTTTGTAGACTTGAAACTCCTTGTACACATCCCTGATGCAAACGCTCAGTACTCTTCAGAATGGCACTGACATATGTATCATGGTAGTTTTTAGGGAGCCCAGACAGCAGCCCAGAACTCATATAATTGATTCTGGTTTGATTAGAACTGAACACAGACTCACGCCAAAGATTTGTAATGCATTTTATACTAATTCTGATTTGATCTTTTTTGGTAGCAAATCTCAAACCCAAATGTGCTTTGGTTCCCAGGTCTTCTCAAAGTCTTACAATAAAACTCTTTCTCACTTTCTTCTCATGCCTCTCAGGAGAACCTTCTCTGTCCCACCTGTTTTCCTTTCTTTTTTTATGATGTGATCTTGTGATTTATAGCCATTCTTTTTTATTCCAGAAACACCATTTTTCAAACTCTTTTCATTGTTCCTATCTGAAACGCTTGCGTTTGAACCACCTGGGGCTGCTCCCTGTTCCCTCTCCCTGGGATACCGTCTTGTTTCGTGCAGCTCAATAGGACTGTTTCCAGTGACTTCAAGGGCCAGACGTTAACTCCTGTCCCTGGCAACCCAGAGGAAGGAGGTTTGAAGCATCTCAGTGCCTCTGGAGCAATACTGTCTGGTACAGCACAGACACGATGCTGCCATGTTGTCATTTTCATTTACGTTGCGCTGCCGTAGAAGAAAGGAAGCCAAATTCCTCACTGCCATGTAAATACTATATTAGACACCACAGCGAGGCTTTGAAATGTTAATACCCTCTCTAACGCAGCCAGCTGACAGAGAGATGGTTTTCTTTTGGTTGTGACTCAGGCTGTCGCAACAAGTCCTGGCAGAAATAAAACAGCCACGAGCAGCCTGCACGTTCCTGAGTAGTAAAGGCATGTGCCACATTTTATGGCTACCATTTCAGGATCGTTTTAACTGGTGGCTTAGAAGGGAGAAAGCGACTCAGGCTTGGGGGGATGACGGCTGGTTTAGAGAGCAGTGGCAGAGCCCTGTGCTCTGCTCATGGACGCCAGCCACCAGCTGGCCTGTCAGCCCACAGCGGCGAGCTGCAAAATGGCCGACTTGCGGCACACTCTCAGATGACATAAGCCCTGTCGCGGAGGCGCGGGAGCACGCACGCTGCTCCTCAGCCTGCACCAGGGGTGGATGGGCTCCTGCCACTTCTTGCCAGTGTGGGGGAAAGCAGGAGGCCAGAGAGGGGTGGTTTTCTGCCTCAGGCTGAAGGGACACTGTCTTCTGGTGAAGGACACTTGTTCTCCTGGCGAGGAGACAGGACGGGCACTGGAGTGAACAGGAGTAGTCCCAGCCCACCGAGAGGGGCTGGAGGGTGATGGGCCAGGGTGAAGGAAGGGGCATCTCTTGCAGCAGCAGCTTCAGGTGGGAGGAGAGACCCTAGCGATGACTGTCCCTCTACCTTCTCTTTCGCCACCTCTTCTTGGGGAAGGGTCTTTTTTCCTGGCTCTTTGTTCCCTGATGACTCCTTCACGCTGGCCTTTCATTTTAATGATAGCATAGCAGTGAAACCGAGTCACATCAAGGCCTGGAGGGTTCCATCTATAATGAAATGTAAAGAAACCTGGCAGGGTCTGACACATTCTCAGTCTCCCAAGAAAGGGACTTGGGAACTGAGCTCTGGGAATCAAGTGTTCAGACCAACTGTGCTTTCCAAAGCAGTGAATTGTTTTGATTATTTTTTTCCCCTTAATTTCACATAGAAATTGGGAAGATTGACCAAGATATATATAAATACAACACCCCAGGATTCACTGGCTGCCTGTCGAGAGTACAGTTCAACCAGATCGCTCCACTCAAAGCAGCTCTGAGACCTACCAACGCCTCCTCTCACGTCCACATCCAAGGAGAACTGGTGGAATCCAACTGTGGAGCATCTCCACTCACCATCCCACCAATGTCGGCTGCTACGGACCCGTGGCACTTAGACTCAGGTAGGCTGGGGTGCATGCCACATTAGCTTGGTGGGGCAGTTCAGAGAAGAAATATGTCTGCCCTCCTCTGTAAGGAAAAACAAACTGGAGTGGATGTGATTGATAGATGACTTTAGGACCATAATCATGGTAGAAAATGCAAAGCTGGAATGACAGAGATTTACCATCACTTCTAAATGCAGTTACATGATATTTTCTTTGCCTTTTATTAATACTCTGCTTTATTTTTCTTTTCCCTAAGTCTTACACTGTGTGAATGTTGAGTTTTGACCTAGCTGCTGTGATAGCACTTTCTCTGTAGTATTGGTTATGTAGTCAGCAAAGGTTTGCAAGTACAAATAAATAAGGTACAGTAGCATTTCTTATGCTGTATTCGTAATAAGTGAGTATATTGTAGTCAGCTTCATACAAAAAAAGTAAATCAAATTTTAGTCATAAATATATTTATATAAAGTGTTGATTTGTTTTCTGAGATGTCTGCTTTCCTTAGGCCATGTTTAATGGGAAATCCCATTAGTCATGATGGCATTCATCTCATGCTGCAGATGCTCGAAAGCCAAAACAATTTGCTGATGCCAGCAATCTCTTCCTGCTTTGTGACTGACAGTCTTTGAAAGTATATGTTGTGCCTAACTTTAGAGGTGTTTTTTTCTCTCTTGCCTCTTGAATGTCAGGTAAATACTTTTAAAAAAAATCTGTTCCCTTAATGCTTAAAAAAAACCTGATTTATAGGGCCAGGTGTATGCTGACCCCTCTCCTGTATTTTGTCCTCATTCTGATTCCATTTGTAGTAGTGTAAATTAGAATCTGTCCTGGTAAAGTTTATGAGTTTACAGTGGTACAAAATTAAAATGCTAGAGGAAAACTGGGTCCATAATGACTTTTATACTGATTAGGCTGTGCCTGTTGTGTTTGGGGATGCATCCATCTGCCAGTTTTTATATGAGAGAGGACTCGTGTATATGTCTGTCTTAGAAATATGTGCCAAGGTCATACCCTTGGGTTTTGGATTTTTTATTTTCTTGTAATGTCAAGGAACTCCTCGCAGCATTTCCTTTCATCTCTTCTGTAGTAGAGAAGTAGGACAGATGTTTGCAAAGAGAGGCAGATATTCCAGGGCTGAGGGTCCCAAACATTGATACAAGCAATATCATACTCTAAAACCTGTCATTCCCTCCTTGCTGCCATGACATTGTAAGATTTCAGTATGTCTCTTCCCTGTTTATAATGTGCAATCTCCTACTTGAATTTTTTTCATCACAAATGAGTAGTCCCTTTCTTCTCTGAAATTATTAGGTCAGTTTCTACCTGAAGGTTATGTTCTGTGCTTTGCTTTCTATAAAAACACATTTCCTGAAGGATACCTCACTGGCTCATGTCTTTAGAACGTGTGCCACAAACTTCTTGAGGATGCACTGCTGCTGTGAATCTTACGCAGCTAATGGGTTTTGGTTGTTAATTTTGGTTGTTTTCTTTTTTCTACACTAGCAAGCTAGCAAAAGACTACATGGGATTTACTTGAGATATTTGAACTGTTTCTAACTGTTCTTAATAGCTCCTGATATTAAAAGAAGGAGGTCCTGTTTGTTCTTGCCCCATGCTACTATGCTTGTCCTTGTGTTGGCTCAGTCTCGTCTTGAAAACTTTTACTGAGTTTATTCAGCTTTGTTGACCTGACAGATTACAAATTTATACATTTTCTTCTGGATTAATTGTAGTAGTCTGTCATGGAGCCAGCATGAAGGATATCAGGGAACATACAGCATGCAATTAGGTTGGCTCAAGCTGTCTGTTAACTTCTGCCCAGTAAAAAAAATCTCATTGCCATAGCCAGACTCGACTTGACTGTTTCAAGTCATGGGCAGACAGAGTGCAAGAGACTCACCTTCATTTTTGGTGATGATAAGCTTTAGTAAGAATGGGAGCTAGTGACCCCTCTAGTGCTCCGCAGCAGTAGAGGGAAAAGATCATATTGCTTTAAAGACTGCTAGTGAGGGACTGCTGTACACTGAAGGGAGCAGCAATGTCAGGTGAGTTATGGTAGAAAAAAATTTCACAGCAAGGGAGCGATGCTTCACCAGGGCAGGAGTGAAAGGACATTCAGGTATGAGTGAACAGTTCCTGACTTTCACTGTGGGTGACGTTTCCATGATACAAAGAGGAGGTATTGCAGCAACTCATTTATCTGTATCAGGTAAGAACAACTCAGTCTTTGTAAAAGTATCTCTGGTGGTCTGACACAGCTAGTTCTGTTTCAGTCTCAGAAAAAATATATACTGTAGACTGTGTAACCTCACACACAGATGATCTTGATGACTGGTAAATGAAAATGTTTGGGTTTAGTGTCACTTCACATTAGCAAATTGGCAGTTTGCACTGAGGATTTTTTTATGTTTCCCAAACCCTACTAGAAGACTTTCTAACACAAATTGTGTTGCAGGGGTAAATGGAAGAACCAGAGGTATAAGTAATGGATCCCATTGGCTCCAGAGCTGGAATAGTCTCAGTACTCTCAGTGGGAATTTACTTGTTCACTAAAAGGGCTGAAGGGGCGAAGACAAAAAGCTCCTTTGAAATTCACAGAAACACTTGTAGTGGTGCTACAGCAAAAGCCCCACAGACTCTGCCACAGAGAAACGGTTGCAAAGAACATGGCTTTGAAAGCAGCAGTTACTATGTACAGTTTCTCATTTCAAACATATTTTTGTCTGTAATTTTTATTGTTATGTCACCTGTTTCATTTTAAAAAAATCTTAACAAAACACGAGAGTTAAGGGGGGATGGTTTGTAGAGAAAAGAAAAAATTGGGAAAAATGTTGTGGCAAGTATGATACGGTTTAAATCTCATTCAGTGACATCCTCTACACTCATCCTGATTCATATTTTGAATTAAGCGTAGATTTGTAGTTTTGCTTCTCAAATACTGTGGAATTGAACATTGAGGATTGAAAAACGTTGTAGGAGGGGATCAAAGGTAAGTGTCTAAATAGGACAGATACAGCAGACAGCAAATGTAATGATCCTTTCACCTCTAAACTGCAGTGCTGGATCAGACCTTACAGATAATTACTAGATGTTAAGCAGGTTCTGCCTGATGGGTGACCTACATGAAATAGTTGCCGTAAACTCTTCTGTGTAGTTACTGGGTGGAAACCTCCTGCTAGCTGCAAAACATTTTGGATGATCTAACAGAGAGGCTAAAGGGAACACCATAAAGATATACGTCAGTCACTTGCAGTTGACCCTTGGAGACAAGTTCAGGGATTTATCAGTAAGAAACCTTGTTGATTTGCTCCCCAGACAAATGGCTATACAGGTTCTCAATTCATTGTCTTGCACTTTCTATTAGCCTTGAATTCACATATATTTCACATTTACAATATCAGTTCATTTTAAATTTCTTTGTCATTGTAAAAATACCATTTCCCTCCCTCACCACCCCTGGCTGGCATTTTGCCATGCTGCTGGGACATTATCTTAAACCTTTATCTTGTTCAGCTTGTGAATATTCTTACAATGCATAGTCTTTTCCTGTTGCTATGGCAATCCTTTCTTGGTGGTGATGAAGTGCAGGAATTCAACAAGTCATTATTTTCTAGAATGTTACTTTGTGGTGATTTAAAAAAAAAGTCAATAATCAAACCCATGCAGATCATCAATGTAGTTCCCTTCCTGTGTTTTCCTCCCATCTGTATTATCTCAGTTCATGTCAGACAATACAATTTGCCTTGGTTACATCAAAAGTGTGGAAAGGAGGCAAAAAAGAGCTTTATCAAATGACTCCATTGTTTTAAAATGGCATGTCCTACCTTTACATGTCATCTAAACCCAGTGAGTTACCTGTCCGGCATACATTTCAAAACAGAAGTTATAAATGCACGCCTTTAACTATATTAGCATGCATTTTAATATCTATTACTGTAGTATATGTAAAAAAAAAAAAAAGCTAATTGCCAAGTGTTTTTTTAATATATATCAATTCAAATTAGCTAAGATGTATGTCACTGATAACTGACACCTTGTTTGTTGTGGAGAAGCAAACAAAAGCCCAAACAGCTGATTATTTTTGTAGTAAATAAACTCCCATACCTAAAATGCCTTGTACTTAAAACCAGAAGATGCATATTATTGGGGTGGGGTTGTTCAGTTTGTGGGTGTTTTTATCTAAGATAAAGGTCCTGCAGTTTACTAATGAAGTTTCACTTCCAAACTTTTCTTATTTATCTAAAAAGGCTAAAAGAAATCTACTATGTGTATGTACCTCTCCATTTTAGGTAAAATGTGCTCCAGCTTGCCAAACTATCCAATCTTGAATCTAGTAAAACCAAGAGATACCAGAAGAGGCAAGGTACATACAACAGTTGAGAAACCATGCTTTAACACCTCTAAGCTGCCATGGAACTATGGAGCTGCAAGATGCATTTATTCCGAGTATGAATAGAATGGCATCTAGAGTATTTAATGCGGGATTTAGTTAAACCCATATTAGCTTCAACATATTAAGAATTAAATGGAGCAGGATTAAATGCTACGTCTGCAATGTTCTTCCAAGTGGTGTGACTTTTTTCTGACTGTACATATTTAAACCCTAAAAGCTCTTTATTTTTGTCAAAGGTGAAAGGCATTGCCTTTTAAGAATCAACAGCTTACTTTGAAACCTATATTGAGCATGTCTGGCAAAAACATTGTATGAAGACATGCACCACTGTCATCAAGATTAAAATGGCTGCCTGCAGGATTAACTCCCTTTTTGTTCCAAATTCATCCTTTAACAAGTGATGGCAGGAGAAGAGAGGGGGAGGGCTGAATACTGGCCACATAATCCATGCTCACCTAACTGGCCAACTAACTATCTTTGTCAGGCGAAAGATAGCAGTTGATTTCTGAACTAAGAAAGTGTCACTCGTGTGTTACTGGGGACAAGTGCTGAAAGTCACCTTCCGGATTCAGATGCCATTGGTTGGGTTGCCATCCCACCCTCTGACCAATGGTACCCACAT